GTAATATTAGAATAGGTACCCCTTAGTTTCAAAATACTTACAGTAGAAATAATTTGTCATTTTACAGATTATTACTCTTTTATTCCCCAAACGTCGCATATTATTCCCTTATACCTACACGGAGGTACTGAATAGGTACACTGTAATTACAAAAAAGTTACATTGTAACTTCAGTTTACTTACGCAGTACGTTGCGGGTTGTAATCTAAAGCGTTACTGAAGAATTATAGAGAATTTGAACAAAAATACAAGCTGCACTCGCATGCATTTAATCTAGGGCTGTTGATTTAACATGTTTATTTCATGTGATTAATTATGGAAATGATAACCAGATATGTCTGTCATCTTACAGTGATGCAGTGTCTGATGATCATGATGCAGGACAACTGACTGTGTGATGGAGTCTATTAGAGTGCAGTAATATGAGCCTGAAATTCAAGATATGACAGCAAAAAATCACCCTCTTATATTTATATCATATGATATAGTTTGGCAATATCACATGAGCAGGAGTGCTGTTTCTCCCAACATCTGCATGACTGCTAATGTGATTATATTGATTATATACAACAGTTCAATAAACAAGATGTACATTTTAGACACAATATTGTCAATATTGCTCAGTTTCACAAATTAAAATATTTCCAAGTCACAGCAGAACTGTTGAGCGTTTCTGATCAACACACAGTGGTGATTTATTACTGGATGAATCCACATTTTTGAATAAATCAAGTGAGTAAATTATTCAGTGACTCATTCATAAAGAGTCACTTGATTCGTTTCTGAATGAATCAGCCATGTGAATGATTCTGTTTAAAGAATGATTCAGTGACTCACTCATTAAGACAGTGACTTGCTGGCGTTTTAGCAGACAAAGTACACAAGTCCATTACTTGAGTGAAAGTACAGAGACTGCTGGTCAAATATTACTCCATTACAAGTAAAAGTTGTAAAGACAGATTTTTACTTAAGTAAAAGTACATAAGTACTTGCTTTTAAAAGTACTTAAGTACCAAAAGTAAATTTCCTTATTTATGTCAATGCACTGTTTTATTGTTGTATGTAATACTTGCAATACCTCTGAAGCAACTTAGAATACATTACACCTACTGAATACACTGACTAGCTTGTAGTATCTTTGGAATAAAGAGCTTTTAGAATGTTAAAAACCTATGGGGGAAAAAAATAAACAAAACAAACAATAATTATTTAACACCCCTACCCACCCCCACAAAAGCAGGATGGTAGTGATCTCACACAGCTCTGGACACATCTATGTGTAGCCATTCATCCACATTTGAACAGAGTGCAAAACAGCAAGACTTATTTTACAGTCTGCAGTGCTGCTTCAGTGTTTTATTAGGAGACGCACAACAGTTCTTCTGTGGCTTTATAGGTAATATTTTCACTTACACAATTTAGCAAAATCAGACAATATTGTGTCTAATATAAACCACAATATTAACTTATTGAATTGTTGTAAACAACTATCACATTTGTAGCTGGTCAGTGTTCAAAAAATGCTGGGAAATCACTTCATGTAGCCCCAAGATTGATTACTGATAAACTGTCTGAAAAAAAGAAAGTCAAGTTTTTAGAAGAAAAAAAATCACCCATTGACTTTCAAAGCTGCTACATAGTAACGACTTTCTACTTTGAGGATCTTGATAGAAATGTAGTGGAGTGAAAAGTACAATATTTGTCTTTCAAATGTAGTGAAGTTAAAGTCATAAGTTTCCAGAAAAAATAATACTCAAGTAAAGTACAGATACTCAAAAAGTGTACTTAAGTACAATACTCAAGTAAATGTACTTAGTTACTGTCCGCCTCTGCGTTTCAGCATCACATCTAGAGCATCATTTCATTAAAAAAATTAAATAAAAAAAATCATTTTATATTTCAGTATTCAAATTTTTTTTTTTTTAGCCATTAATCTCACAGCATTATTTAAGTATTTTGCACATTAGTGATGTATATGTACAGTGACCTTTAACTGCAGGACCTCGACTGAGCACAAGGCAGGACTGGGGTAAAAGATCACCGTGTTTATTATGATTTATTTTCTGCCGTTATTTATGCAGGAGGGTGCAGGTTCAGAGAGGACCATGAGCCGCGGCACACAAACTCAGGTCCAATAAAAGTCTATTTATGAAATATTATGAACAATATGTTGTTTAAATATGCTATTGAAACATTACGTAGTGTTTCAGGAACAACTCTGTGGCTGCTAAGAGTGAATGGGTGACGTTTTCTTTATTTGAATACAATGCATTATCAATCAGAGTGGCCGAGAAGCCTCTGGTGTCTAGTGTGATGAAGCTGCGCTGGTTTTCTCACCTGTGTCTCGCTGCTGCTCTGCCATAGGTTCAGCCCGTCAATCACGTCCCACCATCCTCCCGTCGGCCGCTGGAGGCTGATGACACACCTGAGGAGAGGAGAACGTCACACACGATCAGCTTTCTGTGATGCTGAGAGGACCCCGAGAGACCAGACACACCACATGATCTCAGCCTCAGCAACTCTATGTGATGACAGCAGATTTTCATATGGGTCAGAAGACAGGATTACATGCATTCACTTTAAAGAAACTACTTTTTATATAACTCGTTGATTTGTACATGTGAAGCCTTATTTAACATATTTCTAAGCTGGTACATGTCATAAATCAATTGTTAACAGCACACAAAACCCTGATGCTGCTGAAAGTCAAGAACGAGTGCTGATGTGTTGTCTGAGATAACACATATACCAAAATTGGATAGATACACAGAAGATTAGCATGGTCCCTTGCCAGAGGTGGACAGTAGTGAAGTATTTTTACTTTACTCAAGTAAATTTAAAAAGTATCTGTAGTTTATCGGAGTGTTTTTCTTTGTAAAACATTACTTCACTACATTCCAAAGCATAATGTCATACTTTTTACTGCACTACATGTCATAAATAAATGTTGTTGGTTCCCCTTCAGGAACTTGAGCTGCGTCGAAACGCTTTGGGAATGCCTTCAGCCTGACCACGCTCTGAATCACGTATGTAATCAGTCCAATGGATGGGCGAGACGTCACGGGCGGGGTGACATAGAGACCAGTGAGCTTAAAAGCACGTGCGGTGGATACAGCGGCAGCTTCTGTCATTCAGCAAGCACTCTGTGTGTCTCAGTTATGTTTATTGTTGTCTGTCCAACACTTCTATAAAGCCACGCCAAAGGCTAAAGATAAGAGCAAGGGCAAACAGCATTATAAACTGTGTGTTCCTCCCTGCGCTTATGTGTTGTTTGGGAGCGAAGTACACTGAGTCAGCTCTCAAAGAAGGTAACTGCCCGCATTGCAAGCATTTTTCCACGTGTACACTTCACTCCCGGAAGACTCTCTTCTTAGAAAAAGAAGTAAACACTCTCTTGAGGAAGGAGGCCATTGAGGTGGTCCCTCCTCTCGACAGAGAGTCCGGGTTCTACAGCCGGTACTTCATTGTTCCGAAAAAGGATGGAGGGTTGTGTCCCATTTTAGATCTGCATCAGTTGAACCGCTCATGCGACTGAAGTTCAGGATGCTCACGCTCAAACAAGTCTGTCTCCTGCTCGGATCGAGTCGATCCTCACGGCAGTCGCGAGAGTAAGAGAAGGCCTGTCACTCACTGTCATACAGTTTCAGAGACTGTTGGGTCTGATGGCAGCTGCGTCCAACGTGATACCTTTTGGCCTGCTGTACATGAGACCCCTACAGAGGTGACTCAAGACCAAGGGGTTTCAAATCCGCTTCACATGATCAAGGTCACGCGGTGATGCTTACGTGCCTTATACATGTGGAAGAAACCTTGGTTCTTGTCTCAGGGCCCAGTGCTGGGAGCTCCTTGTCGTCGTGTAATGCTAACGACGGATGCATCCCTCACCGGTTGGGGAGCGGTCATGAGTGGCCGCTCAGCCCGGGGTCTGTGGAGCAGCTGCCATCTCATGTGGCACATCTACTGCCTGGAGATGCTGGCCGTGTTTCAGGCACTGAAACACTTTCTGCCGGACCTAAGAGGCTACATGTGTTAGTGCGCACCGACAACACAGCGGTGGTCTCTTATATCAACCACCAGGGAGGTCTGCATTCGCGCCCCCTTTACAGGCCGGCACACCAGATCCTTGTGTGGGCCCAAGGGAAACTCCTCTCCCTGAGAGCAGTTCATATCCCTGGGCATCTCAGTCAGGGAGCAGACATCCTGTCTCTCTCTCTCTCATCCTGTTTCTCTGTTTCTGCCACGGGATTGACAGCTTCAGTCTGGATCCAGCCCTTACAAAGACCTGAGATGGACAAACACCGGAGAAGAGATGATGCAAACCTCAGATGATGCCAACCCTCAAACAACATAAACTACCAAATTGTGCTACAAGTTTGATTGCAACATATAATCATTGCTGTTAATAGTGTTCATCGTCTATTTGATTACGTCATTAACTGAATTTTACCGTACGTTTCTGCCATATGTACATCAATTTGGCATAGTCACCACTGACAAGCTATTACTAAATATATTGTAGAAACTTAATTTCCTGTAAAGCTGCTTTGCAACGATTTGTATCATGAAAAGTGCTATACAAACAAACTTGAATTGAATTGAATTGAATTGAACCCTGTCGAGGCAGGGGCTGAGGCCCGGTGAAGGGAGGTGGTGGAACAGATCTGGAGAGTGTTTGGCCAGGCTCAGGTGGATCTGTTTGTGACTCAGGAGACCTCACACTTGTCCCCTCTGGTTCTCTCTGACTCATCCAGCTCCTCTCGGACTGGATGCCATAGACTTGGCTGAGGCTTTGTCTGTACGCTTTTCCCCTGCTCGCTCTGCTCCCGGGAGTTCTGGAGAGAGTGCGCAGGGACGGGGTCCGTCTGCTGCTAGTGGCCCCGTTCTGGCCGGGCCGAGTATGGTTCTGGGACCTGGTGTCCCTTCTCGACAGCTCTCCGTGGGAGATTCCCGTCAGGAGGGACCTCCTCTCTCAGGCGAGGGGCACCCTCTTTCACCCCCGCCTGGAGCTCTGGAAACTGTGGCTGCGGCCCCTGAGGGGGCACAACTCATAGCTTCCGGTCTCTCAACTGAGGTTGTTGAGATCATTCTCCAGTCCAGAGCACCCTCAACGAGGAAACTGTATGCCTTGAAGTGGAAGCTTTTCACTTCTTGGTGCGGAGACCACCAGCTCAACCCAGTTAACTGCCCGGTTGGTTCAGTGCTGGAGTTCCTGCTGGCCCATTTCTCCGCAGGGTTGACCCACTCCACCTTGAAAGTTTACTTGGTGGACATTAAAAAAAAAAAAAAAAACGATTGCTGATATTAATCAGACTGATGCTGCTCATCTCTGGTGTCCAATATAATCACTTGTCACTGATGACAGCAAGTGTCACAGAATCAACCTGGAGAAGCACAGCTTTAGCTTTAGCCATACTGGAGGCTGGGTTTCTGCTGGGCCGAGTTTGGTTTTTCATGCTTTTAGTGGACAGGACAGCCGAGAATGACAGGAAAGCATGGGGTTAGGAACAGGACTGGCACAGGACCCTGAGTTGGGACCTTGGTGCAGTTGCATTATATGTCAGTGCACTAACTACTAGACTGTCAGCATCAACACATCGAATCTCAACTCAGTCCATTACTGTGAAGAGTTTTGAGCTCTGTGTGCACCAGAAGTGCTCTTAACAGTACTGAATGTGCACTTGTTGTGATGTATTTTTAAAAAACTGTACTTGCAGATAATACAATATTAATGAAATAAAAAAAAGTTCACTTTCATGACTACATTTCTTAACGTACACACTTCTAAAAAATGCACTTTGTAATGTCAATTTAAGTTTTATTTTAAAGTACATTTTAAATAATTGTTTTAACTGTATTTTCTCCTGCTTTAAAGTACACTTATTTTGATGTGTTGACCAACATAATAAAGCACAAGTAAAGAAGCACTTGATTATCATTTTAACTGTAGTATGTCTAATATTACAATGAATAGATTTTAAGTTACAATTTCATCATTACAAATGTGTGTTTGACATACAAGTTTCAACAGAAATGACATTAATGTACATTTGACCACAAATGCTTGACAGTATTTGCCAGAACACTTTTATCATATTTCAAAGACAATAAGACAGTAATTATGAAATATTACTTATAAAGAATGTCCTACTTAAGTTACAGCACTCTTGTTGTGAATGAAATGCATTTATTATAAATGTAAACTATCAGAAGAAAAGAGAAGTTTTCCACGGTGGAACGTAAATGAGGGGCTTACATGAGCAGCTACAGACCCGCTGTTTCCCATCAGATGCACACTTTCTGAATGACAGAAATCTGTAAAGTTAAAGCAGGACAGAGCAGGAGAAATCAAGGAGAGAAGAGTGCGTCAGAATCAGCCCTGTGACACCGTGGCGTGTGTTATGAGGGGGATGCTCTGTGATTAATGCCGAGCACAGAGGGTTCATTGATCTAGAATGAATCTAATTTCAGGGACTTCCATGTGTAAACAGGATTTAGTGGCACTAGCTGCATCCAGGTGGGAGAACACAAGCACTCCTGCTGCGAGTGAATGCATGTTTACTGGGCTCAGAGCCTTCAGCTCCAGCTCCCATCACAACAAGCTTTGTATCTTCTCACTCCAACAGTTAATGTCAATATTTATTTATGGTGGCAAAAATCAGTTGATAAAACTGTATTCATATCATTGAATAAATAGACAATTCATCTAAAGTAGACATGTAATAAATTATTTATATTGTTACTGCTGTATGTTAGACTAATGAAGTTCATCTGTTGTGTGACTGTTGAATTCCTCCTTCCAATTCCAATAAATTGCAGACACGTCACAACACAAAATAACCAGCTAAATCAACTGCTGAGGTTTTCTGACACACAAGGCTTGCAGACACAGGTGAACTGAACTTGGCAGTGTTAGAGGTCCCTACTGTCATGATATGTAAATAATTCATCTTGATTGTGATGCAGTTCATGGTGGGTAAACCCAATCGTGATTGTGGAAAAGACTAATGGAAAATTAAGAATCTGTTTAGATCCACGTAATCTTAACACAGCAGTAATGAGGGAACATTACCAGCTACCAACAGTTGAGGAAATAACAAGCAGACTGTCGAAAGCCAAATACTTTACAGTGCTGGACGCAAGTTCAGGATTTTGGCAAGTCAAATTAGATGAAGCCAGCTCTCGCCTCTGTACGTTCAACACTCCTTTCGGCCGTTACAGATTCCTCCGTCTTGCTTTTGGAATTAATTCGGCACCAGAAGTGGGGGATGTCATGATATGTAAATAATTCATCTTGATTGTGATGCAGTTCATATGGAAGCCACGGGTTGGCGTAGTTCAATAAAAGTCGACAAGTTGTTGGCAGTAAACCTAGAAGAGGTCTGTCGTGTATGCTCGATATAAAACGCATCAAAACACCTACAGCAGATGATGTGCGCTGTGGCACGAGGAACCGCCATCAGTAACATCACTTACAGTGACAAATGTGTTTGTGTGCCAACAGACACCGTTGTGAAACACCAGAGGAGAACTTCACTGAGAGAAGGGCACGACCCAAGCTACCTTCAGCTTCAAGGGGACTTACATTGGTGGAGTTTCATTTGAGCCGATTACCCCGTCAGGAGCCCACAGAGCGGTCCATAACTGACATCTAACACACACATTTCCATTTCACAGGACAGTGTGTCATAACGGCGAGCGGCAGATGAGTCAAACAGACTGTGAACCTCTTCTTCAGGAGAGCGAACATGCATCTCTGCTGTGTTGTGTTCTTTATTCATTTAGAATCTGTAATCATAATCATTTATGGCGCTACTATTGCATTTAATCATATAATAATAATATTCATTTCATTATTCATTTCATTCACTTGCAGTGGTTGGTGAGACCTGATTCAATTCATGATTCATATGTTTCTGGTTGAATTAAAATTTTCAAACATTTTTTTTTTGCAGATTCAGAATGATTCACATTAAATATTATTGACATTTTTATTAGATTTGAATTAAATCAATTTAAAGAGACACTACATCCAAAAATGAAAATTATCTCACCATTTCTTTCGTAAAAGTTGACACTTCCCAGAAAAACGGTCACTTGCACATGACAGCTGCTGACACGCTACTGAAAATTATATTTAGCAGCAACATACTTTTAGTAAGTGACTCCCCAGCATTGCTAATATAATACATTGTTGATTAGGGGCCAAGAACTGAAGGTGCATAGCCAGACATTATCAGAGGTGTTTTCAGTCTATGGCTGCCAATAGAACTGTACATAGCAAAGTTTTGTAAATTGACTGTAAATTATTCAATGTAAATTGAATAATTTTTAACATTTCTTACAGACATCAGCGTTATTAAGAGACTAAACCGTTCTTGTCAGTCTGTCAAATTAAACCATTCTTGGACATCTGTCAAATTAAATTTTGTTGCAAGATGTTTTATATTATAAATGCATTCATGTATCATTACAAAACTGGATTTGTGTCTTCGGCAGCAAACCCTGAAGATAACTATGAAGTTTTGGCAGCTTCACCTAGTGTTCAAAATATATAATAAACTACACAAATAAGCTTTTTTTGTGACTTGTGTTCTACAGAATCCAAAGATACGTCCTCCATTTTGAGACATTCCAAAAAAACCACCTAGACAGTTTCACACAAATCATCATCAGACCATTTTAGTAAAAAGTAAATAAGATGTGTTGATATCTGAAATTCGATATGTCAGTTCATGACCTCCGATGGCTGTGGGACATTCGAGGACGGCTCGCACACTTAAATGCCTGCTGGCCGTTGCAAAAAGTTGCATCTGAAATAAAAGGAAATCTGTAGTGATTTGCCTCGGCACAAGCAGATTAGAGAGCATTAAAGGAACGTTTCACTCAAAAAACAAAATCTGCCATTATTTACTCTTGTACTGCTTTGCAGGTCATCTGAGGACATATGATTCCCTGTATGAAAAACAGACTGAAACGAGTTATTGTTCACTGATGAACTTCATGTGTGAAGGAAAATCTGTTCCTCTAACCTACACTCTTAAAAATAAAGGTGCTTCACGATGCCATAGAAGAATCTTTTTTGTCTAAATGGTTCCATCCCAGCTAACAGAATTTAGTTACAAGAACGTTCTCCAAATATTCAGTGTTGGTTCTGGGAACATAAAAAATGTCCAGTTTTCTTGATGTTAGAGAAACGTTTTTAAAAGGTATGATGTTCCTCAAACGTTCTTTCAACTTAATTTTGATTTAAAATTCAACATTCTAGGAACGTTGATTTGTAACATCCCAAGAACATAAAAATGTCCAGTTTCCTTAATGTTAGTAGAATGTTCATTAAAGGTTAGTAAGATGTTCCTGAAGCATTCTTTCAATCATTCAAACACCTGCTGTGAACAAGCACTGAAAGAAAGAGAAATAAGAACACAAACTACAACTTTCTTCAGCCACGGCCTTAGATGAACTGAAGATACAAAACATTAAATCTCTAAAGGTCTGATTAAACAACTCACTGTCCTGCTCAGCCTGTCTGACAGAGAGCAGAGGTGTGAATATGCTAAAATGATTGATGACAACATCATTTAAAGGGCACCTATTATTCCCCTTTTTACAAGATGTAATATACGTCTCAAGCGTCACCAGAAAGTGTCTGTGAAGTTTCAGCTCAAAATACCCCACAGATCATTGATGTCATTTTGAAAATGCCTATTTTGAGTGGAAGCAGAAGCAGGCTGTGTCGTGTATGTCTCTTTAAATGCAAATGAGCTGCCTCACCTCGCCCACTTTTCTGGCATGGGAGTACTAAACTAAGTTCTCTTTCATGTCTTATTGCAATTGAACTGTCAAATACACACACGTTTGTTAAAAACACATAAGTTACAAAAACACAGTCAGTTCTGTCTGTGAAGTTAAGCAGCTGGGAAAGAAATCACATGTTTATATTAGATCTGTGTATTAAATGATAGCAGCGAAATATACAGTACTGCTGTCTATACGACCCAAACAATAAAGTAAAAGCAGAAAATCACTGCTCTGGACTGAATAACTTCTATAGATTTAAATAGAATACATTTCTTACTTGAATGCTGTTTTTAAATGCTGTAGAGTGTGAAGATAGACATGGCGAACTGTGTGTGGATCACTCAGGGCGGGGTCTCTGCTGATACGGCAGTGTCCGTCAACGGTCGTGGGCGGGGCCTGTGCAAAGTGATGTCACATTTTACAGATTCAGCGAACGGCTTGCTCTGAGACGCTGCTTATGATTAATGGGGACAAAAAAAGGAGCGTGTAGATTTACATCATTATAGGGTGGTTGTGTTCAAACACTGCCAACACACATTTATGTTCAAACACCATGTAAAAGTGAATTTTGCATAATAGGTGTCCTTTAAATGACACAGCACAAGCAGCTCATTCAGGGGCTGGTTCTGCTGGACTGTGAGTGGGTCAGGAATAAGATCCAGGCTGTTTTTGTTGAAATACAGCATGTGAAAGTGCCTTACTGAATTAGCCCAAAATTTCAGATACTTCCCATAACACCGGGCATATTGTTACAGCATGAGTGGAATGGCATCTACACTTCTGTTAGTCCACTGGTCTCATCCTTACCCCGAGGTTACCGTAGTCAGCCAGATCTGGTCCGTATCCAGACTATATGATGGACCTGCACCTAGTGACAACCACAATGTACCTGTTTACATCTGGTGAAGACCTCCACAAGTCCTCAGCACAGATCCCTATGGCCAGCTATCAACAAGTCATGCCAGGACCAGCTGGAACCCAAATCCAGTTTTATCCAGAAAGACGTTCATCATTCTTAAAAGGCCACTGATAACCCCGTCGTCTACTACTGGCTAAACGGCAGCTCTGCTTTCATATTTCAGCCTGCTGGACAGACTACAACTCTTCCTTTCCCTCCTAATGCTGGTGTGACACACTTCCATCAATATCACCCCTCAGACCAGAGGAGAACTGGCCCCCGGACCGAGCCTGGTTTTCCTCCATTTCTGTCACCTGGCGGAGTTTGGCTCCCTTGACACTCTTGTCTCTGGTTTGCTTAGTTTGGGTCTGAAAGACACTTAACTTTCAGTAATTCATGAATACGACTGCACCATCATCAGATGAGAACAAACCTGAATTAAGCTAGATGACAGCACTATCGTTTTCTTAGGGCCCTATGATTTCTGTGAGGCGGAAAACGCGGACGGAATCGAGGAATCTATTCATAAAAACAGAATTCCAACCTGATCTCACAGAATTCACTGTATAACACGGAATGTCATGGAATTTGCAAAATTTTGGATGAATAAATCAAAAGTAGTTCAATATACTTAAATCAAAACGTGATATGGACTAGTGTCTGTGAATATTAAGCCACAAAAATACTATTTGAATATGAATCCTGCATGTTGTGCGTGTCTCTGTGTGAATGAATGGCGCAGACACGCAGTTTTGTTTACTTCACACATACTGAAGCGCATGTGATGCTCACGGTGTTTTCAGCCTCTGCCACCTCAGTATATGATATATATATATATATATATAATCTCTAGAACTGCTCTGAGAGTCACTTCAGGAGCATTTTACTGTTACCTTTGAGAAAACCCATTGTCATATCATATAACAGAAACTTAAAGGTCTTCACAGCAACTTGTCAAAATAAGAGTTTGGTTTAAATTGAAGAAACTTTGACAGAACTATATTACTTAATGCAATGATAGTACTACTACTAATGATAACATTATTATTAAAACATTATTCTTTGAGAAATATTTACCAGAAAAAAATATATTTACCAGAATTTATTCACCAGAAAATGTAAATAAGCAACACAGTATTTCTGAAAAAAAAGTTAATATTTTTTTTATATAAAGTCAATTAATTAGAGATGCTTTTGATTATTAAAATTTAATGAAACCATTAAAATGGAATCCAGAAAATGAATGGAAAATCCAGAATTTGGTCAAATAAAACTGAATTTGAAAATATATTTCATAGGGCCTTAAAAATGTCATTTTTGTTTAAAATGCTAATACATCGCTTATAAATTTAGTATGTTTCACGATTTCAATTAATTAGACATGCTTTTTGATTATTATTATTATTTTTATTTAACTATTAAAACAGAATCTTGAAAAATTTAAACGGAAAAACGGGATCCAGAGAAATTAAAACGGAAAAAACAGAATTTGGAAAAAAAATTAAACGGAATTTAGAAAAACAAAACAAAACAGAAATTCACAAATCGTCCTCATCCTGATCTCTCTGTTATCACAGACCGAGAAACGATGCGGAGTATAATATGATGTTTACTGCTGCTCGATGTTCCTTTGTGCTTTCATATTTTTTTGGGATCAGGCAGCAATAATAGAATCTCATGTGAGCTTACGATCCAATATTGCTGTTATCTTGAGGAGCAGCGGCCGGGCGGGAAACACATCTCTCAGTCCTCGCAGTCTTTGAAGACTGCATGCTCGTGTTGACTAATAAGAAGGTCCATTGCTATCAGCGTGAGGCTGAGAAACTGGACAGTCAGCTGTGGACGTGCGTCTGTGACGCTGAATGCTTTTTGTCCCACAGGAGAGATACTCGGACGCATCGATTCCAGCCAGACAAACCACAGACTCTGATGACCCTCGGGCCCTCAGAGAGGCTCGCTCTTTCTTACAGGCTCCGGAAATACCATGAGGGAAATAACCTCACCCTAACCCTAACCTGAAGTATCAAACACTGCATATGACCATAACCGACACTGAAACGCATGCACTTCTGCACACTCTACATACACTCATATAGATCATACAGAATACTGGTGTGAGCAGATGAAATGATATAGACAGAATGATTTTAAACTCAGTTTTCCATTTCATGCATACATTTAGATTAAACACTCTCATTATCAGAAGTAAAACTCCACATAAGTGTAGCAACCGTAGTATAAGTGACAAATAATTGACGACAGGCTGTTGAATTATTGAAAAATAATGGTGTATGAAGTATCTGGTGGAGGATGTGCTGCTTTTGAACGCTTTTTCTGCGGCGTGCTACATTTGAGTGCTTTAACAAGAGCAAAGATTGCTTGGCACATGATATTCCCGCTCTAAATAGCAGAACTCCTGTTCTGAGAAAATATTTTTGCATGAGTAATAATCACACTCAACTCTGAATAAGTGCTACTCTGCACATTTTGCACATCTCTCTTATTTTAACAGAGGTGGTCCCCTCATTAGGAGAGAGCTCTGTCACACTCACTTCACGTCATGAATGTGCGGAGCGGTGGTTTACTGGGACTGGAGCTGAGAATCACAGGGCTGGACGGCTTTGAAACATAGACACAGACAGACAGTAGCATAACATTATTAATCAATCATGAAAAATACCACTGCATTTGAAGGATAAAATGGACTTTTATTAAAATCCACATTTAGATTGGTAAAATGGCATTGGTTCTTGTGTATGCTGTAACTGAGCATGACGACATTCAAATGTGTGCTCTGTGGAAAGCTGACATGCTCAAAAGTATTACCATGTTTTTAGAGTTTTCAGAATTTGAAAAGGAAAACATTCTGTAATGCTTGCACATTATTTCAAAAGACAAACAGCAGTGTGATTGATCGATTAGAAAAGATCTATGACATGTTACAATCAAATTGTTGTTACAATGTTACAAAATGTTACAATCATTTAAGATGAATTGCTTGATGTTTTCCCCAATTGTAAGACGTTTTGGATAAAAGCGTCTGCTAAATGACTATTTAAAAAAAATAAAAAAATAAGAACAGTAACTAATCTTAATGAATAATTCCTTACATTTAGAAGAAAAATAAATGAGTGTAACATATTTCTATGTTCAGAGGAGTGAGCGTGTGTGTCCCTGCAGAACATTCACCTTTGACCCGTTCACACTTGGATTGTTTATCATCTAAAATGTTGTAATTAAAGTTGTCTTGGTGCAATACAACTGTGCACAAACAATCTATATATCTATATTTCGGGCTAACAATACAGAAGACATGCAATATCTGTAGATGTCTTCAGAGGAGCTGCAGTTTGGATGTAATTGTATTTCCCCTGAATGAAAGCTACGGACAGGACGAGGCGACAGAAACACTCGTTCAGATGCCCGGTCATTGATTCTGATGTGTGAAGCTGGTGTCTCATAACACAATGATTACACTAGAATATTTCATCTGTTCCTCCTGGATCAATGTGTTTGAGTAAACTCAACCCCGATCTGCCTCCATTCCAGTGCTCAACACTCGCCTTTCACGATCCAATCAACCGCTGAAGGATAAAACCAAGCTTTCTGGATGAACTCGGCCAGAGGAGAGACTCCTGTAACATCATCCACAGCAGGGACGCTTCCTCCGGGGGTTTAGTCCTCAGTGAGAAAGTGTAGCAAGAAACCATTGCCTAAGCGGTGCCTCTTTGTAAATCACCACATCCGTATTACAGGAAGTTAAAAGTAGCCTACCAGTACTTACATTTGTAGTCAATGCAAACATTTTATAAATGATATAATGATGCCAGTCTTTCTGCAGTACAGTTCAAATTAGTACATGTGTAGCCTACTGTTTGAATAACAGAAAATATATATAATAAAATGTTTAAAATGACTCAACTTCTGTTTTCTTTTGAGCTTATTGTGAAAGTATAGAAATGATTAAAGTCAGTTAATTCATTAGCATAGTCAGATATTTTCTTTCTGCTGCCTTCTCAAACTTCTGCTGCAGCAGCAGTGTTTATTCCTGCCTTGTAAATGCATTTAAATTCATTATATTTTTAATAATGACATCTCTTAAGCAAGGCGCACACTGTGCGATTTATTATTGTCCTTTATGATTGTTGCTTGTTAGACTGTATGAACATGATCCTCATGTCACACTGAAGGATCTCAGCTGTCATTAATGTCAGATTGACCGTCAAGACCCATAAAAACAGACCTGCGCAGTGCGAGAAACATCAACCCATGACGTCTTCGGTGAAGGTGAGCTGCATCACTCGCAGGAATGAAATGGTGGCTAACGGTGTGTGTCCACTGGCGCTTTTCAGTTTATTCCTATGTTTTTGGAAATTTTTGAATTAATTTCTAGAAGTTAAGCTTCATGCGTGAACGTGAACCTCAGCTTCTATAAATGAATTAAAAACGCTCACTTTGCTCTGCTTCAGTGGACAA